CCCAACGGGTGCCAGCGAGCCGTAATATCAGTCCCGTTAAATTCAAAGAAGCCAATGGGGCCGTGAACCCAAAACGACGGGAAACAAACACATTCTTGGTGTCCTTTACGTCTGCCCCGTATCACCAAACAGTCGCCAAAACCCATAGAAATAGAGCTTCAATGTTCCGATAAATTACGTCTTCTCGCCGCCACATAAGATCAGTGAAAAGTTATGCATCCAGTTGTAGAGTGTAGACGTCGGAGGGTCATACATTTTGCATTTCTTCCCACCCAAAGATTCGGTGCCAGATCAAAGGGGGGGGGGGGGGCAGCGGTGTAATGACCAAGTGGTTGGCGCCTTCTGTTCCAACGTGGAGGCCCGGTCTAGATCCCAGTTGCGCTATGTTCCCTGAGCGCTAGCATCGTCTTTGCAGATGCTGGCACTCCATTGAATGGTGGGCATTGACATGTGTCAGGTTCCTTAAAACCCAAATTGGTGACGGATCCTTGCCTTCCATACTGGTGCATTCGTGCATGAATAGTTTGGCCTAGGCATGTGCTTTGTATTTAAGCAATAGCCTAGGAACGAGCGTTGTTTATATATATATATATATATATATATATATATATATATATATATATATATATAGCGCGTCAAGTGAAAGTGGAACCAAGTGGAATTATAGTCTGAAGGTGTTGCTGGTTATCTGATGTTCTTTCTGGCTTCAGGCATAGTTTGAGGTAGGCGGCCATTCAGTTGCTCATCAAACAACGGTTCATTTCGTACAAATAAATACAGTGTATTTTATCTTCCAAGCACGGTAGAGCGCCGTGTTTGGAAGACAGTGCAATAACTTAGAAAAGAGCTCAATTCCCACAAGATATCACGAAAGGCTGGACTCGGTAGTCTCTTCGCTATGGCATAGCCTGCGCTTCGTTTCCCTCATGCCGCGCGCGGTGATGTCGCCACCGAGGGCGGCGCGGCCGGTCTACGACCGACCACAGACCGTCAGTCGCGCCATGGCCGCGACCTGGCTAGGCGGCGATGGGCCTCGGACAAAGCCTACTCGCAGATGTACGGCTTCTTGTGGTGGCAGGAGACGTCGTGCCACGTGATTTGGTCGCCGGGGTAGAACCGGTTGAGGATGGCCAGGCAGTTTCGTCGCCCTCGCGGTTGTCGGGCTGCGGCACGCCGCGGCCGCCGGTGCGGCTCCAGTTCAGCGGCTGCACCTGCTGGCCGCTGGCCCACTGGAAGCTGTTCTGGCCCGTCCGCTGGCCGCTGGTCCAGATGTACGGGATGTCTGCGGCGAAGAGACCCGGCGTCAGGCCAGTTTGGCCGCTAGCGCGCAGGGTCACACAGAACACACGGAAGCTTGAGGTGATCCCAGTTCATGATAACCACAGCTTTAACAGGACAAGGCCCCTGAAAGCCTTGCCTCAAAACGTCTCTGAGCGGATAGCTCTGAGCATGCTATACGTCTCTGCACGTCTGAAGCCCCGCGTCTCCCGAGCACTCACTGTCGCTGGCGATCTCGCCGACGATCTGCTGATTCTTGCCGGCCGTCTCCAGCGAGACGAGACGCTGGTTGCGACGCTGGCAGGCGGCGTTGGCTTGACCCCAGGAGAACTTGGCGTTGCGGCCGACAGCCGGGTCACGCCACGAGTAGTACAGACCGCCGCCTGCGCACACGCACGGGTCAGCGGCCGCCGCTCAGGTCAGCGCCGGTCACATCAGTAGTACAGACCGCCGCCTGCGCACACGCACGGGTCAGCGGCCGCCGCTCAGGTCAGCGCCGGTCACATCAGGCCATCAAAGGCGAGTTCAGGTCACCGGACAAAAGGTCAGGTCACTGGGGGCAGGTAGAGTTTTGGGGTATTCCATCGAATCACTAGAGGTCACGTCGGATTACTGGGAGCAGGCCCGCTCACAGCGGATGAGACCAGGACACCAGAGTTTACGGGGTACTAGCTGCCAGATAGGATTACCGGCGATTAAATCGGATCAATGGATGTCAGATCCGGTCTGATCAAGTGACTGCGGGGAATATCCGGTTATCGAGAGTAGGTTCGGATCACCGAACTCACAACAGATCATCGGTGGTTCTCGTCTGGTTTCTCGCGTCTTATGCTGTGTTGCTTCTAAACCGGCTTTCCTTCCAACCAGTGTTTACATAAGCTAAGGAGGATGGTACGTCACCACAGTAAAGTAAAACACGACTAAATCACGTATGTTGCGCCATGGCACACAGTAACTTGCTTTCAAAGAGCCTGTAAGAAAACCAAGAGGGAGTAAAGTTTGCAAACATTTTCATGCGGCGTGATTGTTTTTACGCAGTTTATAAGTACGAGGGATTGTTTGAAGAAAAACAAAGTCAGAAGTAGGGTTTCTGATAGTCGACTCATATAGAGTCCCCGGATATACCATCGGACGAGATCGGGTCACGGGGCATGATTGTATAGCTGGATGTCACAGCTGGTCTTCACGGATCAGACCAGAGCTCCCCTGCACCAGGACTGGGCCACCAGAGGTAAGGTGACCACCGACGGCCTCGATCCACCAGGATCAGCGTCTTCCAAAATAAATCCACACCTAGATTTAGAGCTCAAAGCCGACTTGGTTATGGATACGCACTGGGCCGTTCGTACATTTCGTTGCGCATTGGGGGGGTGATTTTTTTGTAGGGAGTAATAGAAGTGTAACGCTGGGTAGGTGGCGGCTTGCGCGCCGTTATGCCCAGGTGTGGTTGCTATATAACGGAAAAATCATTTTATGAATGTCTAAAACCTTTATGACGGATAGACAGTTTTATAGTAACAAGCAATGCGCCGGTGACCTGTTACGCATCTTAAGTTCGTTCAGCGTCCAAACGGACACATTTTGGGGACATGTGCCTAACACAGGGTAATAGGGAGAAGGATTTCACCAGTGACCGATGCGTGACGAACGTGAGGGGATTGAAAATTGCCAAAAATGCGTAACGTGATTTATGGGTGGCTTCCACAAAGATCAAAACGCTGATGTTAGATCTAATTAGCGTTTTAGTGTGAGTGAAATGCCACCTTGCACCAACCTGATAGTGACTACAATACGTGCTTGAGATGGCCTAGATATATGAATTAGTTGTAGCCCGTATTACGTATTGGGTTGGCGATGCCAAGAAAGGGGATTTCGTGCTCCAAAACGCCCAATATTTTGCACAAACTTTAAGAGGCAGTCTGTTGCGGCCACCGAACGGCACGCATGGGATCTAAAGATGTTGTCCGCTGAGGCGAGCAGGACTTGGCCAAGCTGACAGCAGGAGGACGCTGCAAGCTGCTGTCACTACTCTGCTGCGGCGGGCCCCTGATTCTGCACGACATTCTGCTGAGCGGAAGTTCTGCTGGGGCCGGAAGAAGTTCCGCGGGCGCTGGGGGACGCCTGAAACCGGAACTGAGGGCAGCCAGGCCCAGCAGGGCAGCGCAGATGCAGCAGAGAGAGGGTTCTCATCTGTCGACACGCCCCGGCCGAGCCACAGCGCAGTCAGGGGAGCGGCCGCCACCCACACCAAACTGCACCACACTGACCATGCCAGACTGCACCAGGTCAGCCAGTCAGCGCCAGATAGTTCAGCAGCACAATACTGCCTCAACGGCTGTTGTCGATCACTGATCGGCTCTCAGTCGGACAAGTTCCAGTGTTTCCATGCTCACCGCGTATTCTGTTCAGCTTAATCGCAAAGCGGTGTCTGGTAGCACAGTATAAAAAGCATATGACACCTCCGGCCGCCAGCCACCGCTATGGCCTACAATTTACCGATGGCATAGCGAGAGAGTGGTTCCCCAGGTCGCTGCACCTGTTCGCTGTCCCTGCAGCCAGTTGGGTCTCCTATTCCCAGGCCGCGGCGCGCCGCTGCTTACCTTGGTGAGAAGGCGATCGGTAATGGATGCCTGGCAGCGGCGGGCGGCCGTTTATATATGGACGGAAACGGTGGCTGGGCAGGCGGCGGCGGTCGGCCTTGCCCCGGCGGTGGCGCGTGCCGCACGACAGCGCGCCCAGCCGCCGCCGCCAGAGGTCAGAGAGAGAGGTCACTGCAGCCGTCACCGGCACGAGGCGTGCACAGCCGCCACGGAGCCGCCCAGATAGCCGGTGCTGGCGCGACGGGACGGAGCGCTGGCCGGCTCCGCACCCGACACAGAGGCACAGGGCTGAGCAGACAGCAGCATTGGTCACAACCGACACAGCAGGCGGGCGGGCGGGCAGATCGGTGCGGGCGCAACCACGTCCAGCACGACCGTCGCCGTGTTCGGAAAATCAAACCAGTCCGACAGCTCAGCCGACATAGCAGAGGGCTATCCAGCAGAGATTAATACAGCATCTCAGCTGAGAGTAGCATAGTCACTGTTAAACGGACTAGTCTCCCAGATGAGACCAACACAGTTGTCCAGCTGGCTGACACCAACACAGTCACAATGCTGAGACAGACAAGTCTCCCAGATGAGACGTTAATCTCACAGTCGCCTAGCTGAGTCCAACACCGTCACACTGCTGAGACAGACACAGTCACTCATTTCAAACCAACATAGTTTCACAGATGAGATGGTTACATTTCACCCCTGCTGAGGCCGACAGAATTGCCACAGACCGCACCGGCGACGTTCGTCACAGCAATTCGGCGCCAACGGCACAGAAACCGACAGAATGAGCACACCGGAATGACGCCGCCAGAACGAGCTGCTCGAGCACCCAAGGTCATTGGGGGTCCTTCACACACATAACGTCTGAGTTCGGCCAGATTGTCGACAGGGAATCTTCTAAGCAATAAGCCAATTGTGCATGCATGATGAAGGGCTGTTTTAGCAATGCACCGTTTTCGATCCGGGGATATTTTGCTCATTGTGTTTGAGGTTAAATAACGGGGTAGTCCGATGCCAAATTTTATCAGAAAGTGGATATTTAACCCTTCTATGCGTGGAAGAAGCCTTAAGTGTCGGTAGTTGGCACTATAAGTCAGTTGTATTTAAAACAGTCCTTCTCCAATACGTCAGGGGGTCTGCAGGGTAGTTTTAAAGGGTTGAAAGCATCGTTTGACCCGTGAAAGCAGCTGAGCATACGCCACTTTTGTTTCCGAAAATATTGTTTTCTTAATGCTGTGAACAATCAGTGTTGGCATGAATGAATGCTAGCCAAAGCCTAGCCGTGTAAAATCATTGCCCGCTGTTCGATCATACCACATCAAAGAAGCCAAGCCTTTCATAGCCCACGTGCTAGAATTAACATTAAAACTGCTGGGAACTGTTGGGACTATTAACGTCGTTCGCCTCATTAGAAGAAGGTTTGCTTGATGGAAACCCACAATGGAACGTGACTCCCTAAAGTTACAACCCCTAATGTTCATTATTCCTCTGTTTTCATAAGCGCCAACAACCGTAACATCAATGTTCATAACTGCTAAGGAAACCTAACCTTAATGTTCAAATCCCTATAGTTCATAATCCCTACATTTTACAGCCTCTTAAAACCAGTGATCTTCAAAGAATTCCTGTTCTTAATCCTATTATCCATAACCTACATTGGTTTCCTAACATCTGATGTTCAAGCCACCAGTGATCCCTGATCGCTAACACCAGCGTAGATGACGCGTAGGGTTGCGATGCGATATGGTGTTCTCTTCAATATTGGACCACTATCTCACGTTCTGGGATTCAACTAGGTTGACATGTAAGACACTTGACTTGAAAACACGTAGACGTCCCGAAAATGGCGATGAAGTTTTAAAGCCTTGCAATATTTCGATGATAGCGTTTCCCATGAAGTGTCGTGAGGACGTGTAATACACAGTTAGGGCCCAATGTCTCAGCATGGTGGCCTACGTTGAGGCAGTTCATTTGTTTTTATGTAGGGCCAAGCAGCAATAAGTGAGACACTGATCTGCTTTGAACTTGATGGAAGCTTTAAGCATGGGTTGCCATCTTTCCTGACTAGTTTCCTGGCTTCATTCGACTGCCGCAATGCTGTTGAATGAAATTGAAAAGGAATGCTCCACTTTTGAAGATATTGAATCAAGCGTCAGATTGATTAAGTAAACTTACTCGTAAATTTTGACATAATTTTGATCGAAAAAGACTGTTCTAAACAGCGAATTTCCCTTTTTAGCAAATATGCTCCTCAACGCGACATTGTTTGGTTGCGTCATCTTACCTTGCATACCACTGATTCAGAGCCGATCGACGCCCGTTTTGTCTGGAATTGTGCTCACGAAAGTCATATATGGACGACTAGACCATGATACTTTTTACCCCTGATTGTCGAATGGCCAATGGAATGGCAAGATATGAATGACGTTATTATGGCGTCATTAGTGCTTCGGTGACCTTGAAATAGTCTGCACTCAATCGTCTGCACATCTTAACGGGCGTGTAGCTCAGAACTAGAAGGCTTTAGGTCTTGTCGCGATACTTTCGAATCATGATCATAAATTAATCATGATCGCGAGTATCGTGATCAGAAGTCAATCAGGAATCGCAAGATCATGATTTTGCGATTCGGGGTCGTGCTTCCGTGGCTGAACAAGACCCTGCCGTTTATCAGGAGCTCGTGTCCATAGATTCGCTATACCCCGCTCATTGACGGGATCGCATCAATTTTCGAAACGATGGATGACTACGCTTTTCAACAATCCGTATGCGATTTGTCGCCAATTTCTACCATATCATTTAAAGATGATTCCTCTAAAATTCTGCGCAAACTCCTCCCTTTTGTATTTCAGGTTTAAACGGCTCTACAAACGTTTTAGTTGGCCATAATTATAACAACTTAACACGTTTACAAACCTTGCTCGTGATGATAACTGGTTTGCACCGTGCTCACCGTAATAGCGCTACGCAACGCAAATAATTTTGCTATATTCTTCCTCGACTATGATCATCTGATTCCTTCAATCCAGAATTTCCTGGAGGCACTTCCTGAAAGCGGAAAAACTGCAGGCCCTCATTTCCCGACCTCCTGGCAATGGGACTCTTCATTCACTGACCTTATCTTCGGCTCCGGCCTGGTTTATATGTAGTTCGACGGCGTCGAACTACATGCGTGCTGTATCAAGCTGCACATGTACAGTTCCAGGCGTGCTAGGCCAGTACTTTGCTCCGGCTCTAGGTTAGATCTAAAATAAATGCCAGCTTTACATCAAATGTTAATTTCTTCTCATGTTGAGCTCCAACCTAATTATATGTAAATATTAGCGATGTGCTACGAGGTCTCAGAGGGCGCGACGTTGCGCGACATTTCCCATCCACGCGACTTGTGAGGGTCAGCAAGTACGTGAAGTCCATAAACACGCACACAACGCTGTTCACAAGATAGCTCTAGAGTGCCTAAAAAAATATCAAATTGCCCGGTTCTATATTAAAATGAATGGTTTCAAGGTCGTGGTCAGAGCTCCCGATGCAGTGAGCCGCGCAGGCCAGGTCATCCGACATCGGCTCATGGCGCGCCCCGTGTGTAATCCGCCAGTGGTTCAGTTCGAGTTATGACCGGTCTAAAAAGAATTCAGCAAAGATTCTTTTTTAATCTAAACGGCAATTTATTGGTCTTTTAAATGCATATCAATTTACATAAGATCGCAGAAAGCATATTTTTCAGAACATGGGATCAAAAGTTGAACGAATCATGGAACTAGGTGACCTTGCTATAATGCAACTAGCTGACATTCAACATCATATTGCTGCGTGCTTCACAAATGATATAGATTTTAGCTGTTCGACGCAATTTTCTCAAACAGCATATTCCGCGTGCCTTTTTTTCTAGAACGAGCTGAAAAACAAGGTGCGTGACGTCATCACGTATTGCACCTGCTCGTACTTCCTTATCGGTAAGCCGCACGGCTCTAAACGGCACGGCTCTAAACGTTGAACGGCTACAGTTTTTTTAAATTCTATAGTTGCAAGAAGTTGCTAAACTTGAGGTTTAAAAAGAGCATTACGAGCCATCACACTCAACTTGAAGGAACCTTGAAATGGTCTTTTAACAGCCTACGTGTCCTGAGTGTTTTCGTCGCCCATGGCCATTCCGGTTCTGCCGATGCCACCACTGCTATATCACACCGTATGAAGGCAACTTTGGTCCTCTTTAGCTACGGCCTGCGCCAAGACAGTTACAAGGATATTGATGGATCGCTCAGGAAGTCTGTGCGGCTTGGTGCTAAATATTTTGTGAGTTCAGGTACGGTTTGCTGTCCGCATGCTTGCCGAGCTGTTCAAAATATATGCACATTAAAAAATCATGAGACGTCCTTAGTGCATGAACAGCATACATTGCGACACACAAGGGACCACTAGTAGCATATCACGAAAAGCAATTAAAATAAGTCAACTTAAAAAAAAA